ATTTCAAACCGTACCTTGTTGTCTGCATGTGTTTTGGTGATGGCATTAGCCAGGGCTTTAGTGCTCAGTCCTCCTTTCACATCAATGAAACTTATCCCAGCTTTTTCATACACATACACATCAACCTGTCAGTGAGTAAAATGCAATGAATGTTAGTAGTTTTTAAAAGAGAAAGCTACTGTCACAAATACTGTTTCCTAGATGAACAACAAACTTTGAAGTCTTTGACAGGCTGCATGGGTCGAGCATGGATCAGCAGCTCGTATTTTCCAAGTGTGCGTTTCAGTAGTTCCTCATAAGTGAGCTCAAAGGTGACCTTTTTGTGAGCCGCCACAGTTACAGACGTTTTAAATTCTTCCATGGTCCTCCCTACAGAGCTGCAAGGAAAACATTTATCACTGTAAATGATGGGATGCATGCCATGACATATTGTAGAGGAAACAAATAAAATAATAATAATGTGTAATGTGTTGTATTGGAACATACAATGATGACAATGGCAAACTTGGCTCTCTGCATTTAACCCATCCACCCCCAGGTGGTGCAGTGGGCAGCTATTGCAAGTGCCCAGGGAATAATTGGGGATAGGGTGTGCTGGTCAGAGACACCACAAGATAAAACTGATTCTTTACAGATTTTTTTTGTGTGTGTGTCCACATACAACAAATGAACAGTCATTCATTTTTATATAAGTGGATATTTCACAGAGGGACAAAACATCAACTAAAAATCCAGAATAAAATCTCCCATTATAAAGTCCTGATGCATGCATAATAATGCAGGTAGATAAAACTACCAAGGCTGAGACAGGTCCCCTAGACAAATTATTCTTTGTAGAAATGTTTTGTTTTTCATCCTAAAGACTTCTTCAGTCTGAGGCGCTGAATCAGAACCTTCAAATCTGAACCACAATTTTGGAGTTACTGACTCTCATCCCAGCTGCTTCACACTCGGCTGCTGACCACTCCAGTGAGAGCTGAAGGTCACGGCATGGCACAATGATGCCAACAGGACCACGTCAGCCGCAAACAGCAGAGATGGAATCCTGAGGCCGCCGAACCAGACTCCCTCTGCCTCCTGGCTAGACCAAGAAATTTGTCCAAAAAAGTAATGAACAGAATTGGTGACATCGGGCAGCCCTGGTGGAGTCCAACTCCAACCCTGAAGGGATCTGACTTCCTGCCGGCAATGCAAATTAAACTATGGCACCACATGAAGAGGGACAGAACAGCCCATAGTGAAAGGCCCCTACTGCCATACTCTTGGAGTACCTCACAAAGCTTACCTCAAGGAACATGGTAAAATGCCTTCTCCAAATCTACAAAACATATGGGAGAGTAGTTGGACAAACTCTCATGACCCCTCAAGAACTCTAGGGAAGGTAAAGATCCGGTTCAGTGGTCCACAGTCAGGATGGAACCATCATTTTTTTCTTCTGGATGTGAGTTTCTACCAATGATCAGAATTATTTCTCCATTACCCTTGGATAGACCTTAACCAGGGAGGCCAAGGAGAGTGATGTCCCAATAATTAGAAAACACCCTATGTCCCCTATTTTTAATAGGGGAACCTCCACCCCTGTACACCAATCCAGTGGCACTGGCCCCAATGTCCTCACAATGTTTCAAATGTGTGTTAACCAAGACAGCCCTACAACATCCAAAGTCTTAACTAAATTAGGGCAGATCTCGTCCACCCCCAGATCCCTGCTGCCCTGGAGCTTTTAAACTACCTCAGCGAACTCAGCCACGGTTATGGACAGACCAACTCCTAAGCCCCAAGACACAGCTTCCTCCATAGAAGACGTGCCAGTGGGATTGATGAAGTCCAAGAAGTATTCTACCTCCCAATGATGTCACTGTTTTAGGTCGACAGCGCCCCATCTTCACTGAACACAGTGATAGAAAAGTGTTGCTTTCCCATCCTGAGTTGCCTGATGGTTTACCAGAATCTCCTCGGAGCTGATCGAGAGTCCCTATACAATCTTCACAAAACTCCTTCCACATCCCAGTTTTTGCCTTAGCAACAGCCAAGATGACAGTCTGCTTGGCCCTCCAGTACTCATCAGCTGCCTCTGATATCTACTTCTTCAGCTTGACAGCCTCCCTAACCCAGTGTGTTCACCACCGAGTTCCAAGATGGCCAAAAGCACCAACCACCTTGCAGCCACAGCTCAAGGCAGCCACCTCAACAGTTGAGGCACGGAACATGGCCCACTCAGACTCAATGTCCCCAACCTCAGCTGGGATGAGGTTAAAGCTCTCCCAGAGGTGTGAGTTGCAGATTTATTTGATGGGTTCTTCTGCGAGATTTTCCCAACAAATCCTTTATACATTTGTGTCTACAGGGTCTGGCCATCTTCCCCCACCATCTGATCCAATTCAGTATCAGGTGATCAGTTGACAGCTCAGCTCCTCTTTTCACTCGAGTGTCCTAAACAAACGGCAGCAAATCATGTGACACGACTACAAAGTTGATCATCGATCTACAACCTTGGGCGTCCTGGTACCAAGTGCACTTAAGGACATCCTTCTGTTTGAACATGGTATTTGTGATGGACAAACTATGATGAGCACTCTCTTGTAAATGAGTCCCTGAGGCTCAATGGGATTAACCTGTATAAATAAAGGTTGAGTGAATGAATGAAAAAGCACAGAAGTCCAACAACAGAGCACTGCTCAAGATTAAATCAGAGAGATAGTTCCTCCCAATCATGCCCATCCAAGTCACACTGTCATTACCCACATGGACTTCTCTTTGAAACATCAAAATCACATCTTTTTGAAACTCTGCAATAAATTCCATCAACATTATTACCTGACAATGCCTGCACTTTCACCACGAGACACAGCCTCCGTGTATTGCTGCTGAGCCTGCTCCTTCGTTTTTACAACTCCATCATAAACCTGACCATCTATAAACCTGCAGAAAACGAACACAATATTGAGTTTGAATCTTTTTGTTAGTACTGTTTTATACACAAGTATTACTAAAATTTAGAATTTTATTCATCATTTTTTCCCTTCACGTACATTCTGAATTTACTGATGAAGGCATTCTTGGGAATCTGAACATGAAATTCAATTTCTTTGGACTCCTCCATACGGTTGGCCACACGGCTTGTGATGATGGTGGTGGCATATCGGCCAGTGACAGTGGAATTGATGTGAAAGCTGTAAATGTCCCAGTTGTCCTGAAAAAACACAGAAGCTAAATTCAAATAAATAGCAGGATATCTGGCCAACAACCAAGAGATCAAAGATGCATTGATGGATGAAATATTTTTGGCGCAGCTGCAGAAACCCCTCTTTTTGTTTTGCTTGTTTCCTCTTTGTTTGTATTATGTAAAAACGTATTGTTAACAATCACACTCTGTGAGTGTCTTTAGAGTCTCTGTCTGTCCCAGTGATGGACTTGTGATCTGTCCAGAGTGTTCCCCGCCTCTCACACAGGGACTGCTGGATATGGGCACATGTGACTCCCACAAGATGAAAAGGGTTAAGTGGGTAAAAGATAATGAATGAATGGATCAATGGTGCTAACATTCGAAACAGTATTCTATCATTACATTTACTAGTACGCATCCTTTGGAATACGTATTAGCCTTTAAGTCAAAAATAACAATAAAAATGCCTTGATCATTTGTCTCTTCTTCTTAAGATCTTAGATATTGGTTTTAACACTATAACGTACTTCATAAAGTATTTGAGTTTTATCTGATTTGTTTGTTTTACCTGATTTGATATGTTCATTGTCTTATATTTGTTTCTTGGTTTTAATTTACTTGTACTTTATGATTTCCTGGTCATCATGAAAAAGGTTATGTAATTTTGATCATTTGCAACGATAACGTTACTACACTCTAATGTAACTGCACACTTTCTCGGTGTATTCCATCTCCAGAATGAACAATAAAAGCTCAGCTTAAATGCACAAATCAATAACCTAAAATAAAATTTAGGGTACAAAGGCCAAATGTATGTTTAGCTCTGGTAAACTGAGACAGAGTTCAGTTTGACACAACTGGCAAAAACATATTAAAGCAGACTAAAAAAATGTTAATTATCAGGTATTTCTGAAAATGTTAAAAATAATTCAGCAATAGTTCTTTTTTATGTAGTTCTTGTTCTTTCCGTTGATACTGTATACAAAACACAATACAACTTTTTATAAAGTACTTTAAAAACAACATTGTTGGCCAAAGTGCTCTAGTACACGATAACACATAAAAGCTATAAAATAAAATAAAATAAAGTACCTTATTTGATTGTGAAGCAGCCAAAGCCAGCAGCAGTCCAAAGAAAGCGAGCTGCACCACAGCTCTCCCCATGTTTCCTCAGAGTAGACTCTGATTAAACTGTTCTTTAAACTCAAACTAAGCTGAGATTTATTTGTACACTTTTCAAAACTTGTTTTTCCCGTCAGTCTCCTCCTTTTGCCGCCCTTTTGTTTGCAAATAAAAACCATCCCACACACAGAACTTACCCCTCCACCCCAATTTACTGTAGCTCAGCTTTGTAAATATTCTTGCCCTGCTTTAAACTTCTGCACTTTGCCAGGACTTTGTTATAACAATTATTTTGTTCAAGGACACAAAACACTGGCTGAAAAACTCACCACAAACAAGTTGTTTCTTTATATTTGTATTATGAACGATTAACGAAACAAGTATTTTATCAATATTTTCTGATGTCAAACTTTTTTTTTCATTTTCATTTATATACTTGCTTTTTTTAAGAGTTTTAATCTGATATTAACTCAAATCTTTGTAACAAAGAAAACATGTTTTTATGTTTACATTCAAAATATACAAAATACTACTACTGTACATAATACTGTACACAGTCTTCTTGTTTCACTAATATCACTGCAACTCAGACATTGAAACCTTCGACACAGGTTTAACTCTGGAAAATCCTGTAAAGTCTCTGGTTCATTCCTGGTTCTATCATCTACGAAATATTACCAAGCTTTGCCGTACTGTCTCTCGTCCAGAACTGGAAATCTTAATTCATGCTTTTGTTTAGTCTCGCCTGGATTTTTGTAATACACTGTACACATGTTTAACCAAAACCTCCCTAGACCGGTTGCAGTGTGTACAGAATGCTGCTGCTAGACTCCTGACTGGATCTTCAAAATTTTGTCATACAAGTCCTCTTCTAAAGCAACTTCATTGGCTCCCAGTTCATCGAGTGGATTTCAAGATTTTGATTTTTTTTTTTTTCATTCAAGCTTTATTTAGACAGGTAAATCCCATTGAGCCTCGAGGACTCATTTACAAGAGAGACCTGATTTCAACAAAGAAAGATGACAACAATGGACAACAGCAACAACAATAAACAATTATAAAAAGTAATACTGCAGGGTTTTTTTATTTGTTTGATTTTTTTTACAAATACGATAGCTAAAAGAAAAAAGGTAACAAAAAAACAGCTAGATTCTAAGGCGAATGTAGAAAACTAAAAACAGCAACATGTCTGCATTGGTCCCTGCCAGGAGTCCAACAGATTCTTAAAGCCACTTAGAGAGGTCAAGGTCGAGAGCTTCAAATCTTTTTGTAAGATATTGCAGGAAATAGGAGCGGAGTAGGAGAAGGCCCTTTTGCCTAGTTCAGTCCTCATTGAGGGAACACTGCAGATAATTTGGCAAACTCTGAGACAACATTTTATATCTCGGAACTTTAAATCCCTACACCCCTGAAAGCAGGTCTTTGACGTCCTGTGATTAAAACCTGCTGATTGTCCCCCAGCCAAAACTCAAAACTAAAGTAGACAGATATCCTGATGCATGCTCAATAGATAAAGTAGACAGAGCCTTTTCTTCTGTGGCTCCAAGACTCTGGAACTCCCTTCCTCAAACTCTCAGATCAGAAGACTCTGTGGCTTCCTTTAAAGGCCAGCTAAAAACTTATCTTTTTAAATCTGCTTTTGCTTAAATTTGTTTTGTGCTTTTGTTATTTTGTTTATTGAAGCACTTTGTGATTTTCTTTTTTTTATCTTGAGGTGCTATACAAATAAAGTTTTATTTACTTACTTACTTACATTTTTCAATAGCCCACAAATTAATCTCTAAACTTTGTGATCTTTAGATTTGAACATTGTTCAATTTTCTCAGATTTTTACACATTTTCTAGAAGATTTTGGTGATCTTGATTTGGAAGAGGAGTTCCTCAGTGTGACCTCAGCAGAGGTCATCATGATGACACCCCCCCCCCCCCCCCTCCACTCTGCTTGCATATGACTGCACACCTACCCATCAAGGCTGTTATAATGTAAAGTTTGCAGATGATACAGCAGTAGTGGATGCATTACAAACAATGATGAGTCCGGCTACAGGCATGAAGTGGAACACCTGGAGAGCTGGTGCAGGAAGAACAACCTTCACATCAATGTGAAGAAGACAAAGGAGATGGTTGTGGACTTCAGACAGAACAAAGACACCTCACCCCCCCAAAACATAGGAGGATCTGCGGTGGAAGTGGTCTCTAGTTACAAGTACTTGGGTGTGCACCTGAATCACAGCCTCAGCTGGGCCAACAACACTGCCAACCTGATCATGACAGCTCATCAGAGATTATACTTCCTCAAGTGGCTGAGGAGAGCCAGACTGGAAAGCTCAGTCCTGACCTCCTTCTATAGGTATTCAGTGTAGATCATGTTGTGCTCAAGCATCAGTGTGTGACATGGAGGCTGCACAGCTGCCGAATGGAAATATCTGCAGAGTGGTGAAGGCTGTACAGAAGCCTGATGGAGTCAGCGTCCCCACCATCACAGACATCTACACCTCCAGATGCAGGAAGAGAGCCACCATCATCATGAAGGACCCCATTCACCCAGCACACATACTTTTTGCCTCGCTTCCCTCAAGCAGAAGGTTGAGGAGCATTAAGTGTAGAACAACTAGACTGAGGAACAGCTTCTACCCTGAAGCTGTCAGAATCATAAATCTGTAACCAGGATAATCACTGTAAGGGAAAAAAAAATCACTGTAATGCCATTTGAATTAGTGATATGTATGTGACTTATCTGTGCTGCTGATTATCCTTTCTGCTAATCTCATGCTGCTGACCATCTCATGCTGATATATTTATTCATACATCTCTACTCACTACAGACTTATGTTTGGGTTGCTGCTTAACACACAGTATTATTTACATTATTAGTGTTTAGCGTATATTTTAGAACTTTTAGTGTACTGTGTTTAGCGTTCCTTTAGTGTATTTCTAGTGTATATCTTAGATACTTATGAACCGTTTATTTTTATACTTTTTTGTTGCTATTTTTAGGTGTAACTGAGACCTTGAGTACACAATTTTGTTCCACCTCATGTACCACATGTGATGCGAATGACAGTAAAGATACTTGAACTTGAACTTGATTTCCACTTTTTTTTTTTTTTTTTTTATGTTTTCCAACTTTTTTGCACGTTTCCAACGTAAAATTGTAAATTTGTTTAAATTTGTTGAAGACAATGCAGAGATACTAATACAGTACCACTAAAAATCATTTCTTTGCACAAACATGACACCCAAGGGCCAAGACTGGGACAAATAAAGGTGGAGGTATGTGTGTTTGCTTTAGCTTTCCCACCCAGATTTTTTATTGAACCAGTCATAGATTCTTTTTAAATATTCATTTTATTTGACAGGCTTTGCAGGTTAATAACAGTGCATGATTACAATATCGTTTTTTCATATGTTAGACATGTAACTGTATTTTTTTATTATCTTGGAAACACCTAGGTGTTTGTTATCATCAGCTCGGTTGAGGTTCTGTCACATGTCCAAGGCCTTGGGGAAGGGAGGGGTGAGGAGACAGACAAAGTGTCTTTGTTTTTCCTAAACATGCCAGAAGGTATTGAGATAAGTCTGCCATCAAGGCCACAGTTTGGGTCAGGCAGAACTCGTAAATTACTGTTTCTGCCTTTTAAAGTCTCGCTGGTACATTTCTCTGATGGTGACACCAAACAGCTGAATTGATTCCTTACGCTGAAAGTCAAGCTTGCAGCTTTGCCAAGATTATTCCCACCATTCATGGGTGCTGCCAGAAAGTTCACAGTCCTGATAACAGCTGCTCCAACTCTGACGTAGCTCCACATAATTCAGTCTGAGTGCTGCCAAGCTTCGACACATCCACACAAATTTGTAGACAATCCAGATTTCACCAACCCAAACAGAAGAATCTAGTTGTCATCATGAATCCAATTTGTTTCCGTCTAGGTAAGAGGGTCCTCCTTACCCGGACTTCTTGTCAGGAGAAGTTGATCAATTTTGTTGAGAGACCAGCTGATCAAAATCCTTCGAATTAGGAAGGTATACAGAAAACAGAGGTTCTTCGAAGGTTCCCAAGACGAAAGAGAGCAAAGCTGGGGGACAGAGCAGAAGAGGGCACGTCTGTCTGCATCGGAGCACAGAGAGAAAAAAAAATACTGCAGTCATCAGCAAAGGAGGGACAAAGAAAAGTTAAAAGAAGTCAAACATAATGTTTTCTTGTTAAGAAATGCAAATACCTGTATGTATATATGTATGTATGTATGTACGTATGTACTAAGTGTACCTGCTAACTTTAATCAAATGGTTTTCGATCTGCAGTGCTGCTTTATGACATCCTCTTTTCTCCTCATACTCAGTCTTTAAAGCTGCACAACAAAACGTTGGTTACGTACTGTAACCCCAGATTCTATGAGTATAGGCGTAGCCCTTTAAGGCTTTCGCTTAGTGGTTTATCCCGTTATCCGTAGCATTTGCACTGAAAAATTTAGTCCACGCCCACCTGCTGTTTGGGCCCCACCCGGTCTGTATAAATTACGTTAAGAGCGAGAAATCGGCTCCCAAAAATAGCTTTTTCTTCAGCCATTTAGGAGCCAGTGAGGCCCAATGCTTAAAGGGCTACGCCAATACTCATAGAATATGGGGTTACAGTACGTAACCAACGTTCTATTTCGTATAGGCTTCGCCCTTTAAGGCTTTCGCTTAGTGGGTTAAGGGCGAAGCAGATGTGGTCCTCGCCTCACTGGGTCCATTCGAACACCGTATGAAGCAGAAGCTTGCCCAAAAAAGTCTAATCACTCAGCTCCCATGTGCGTAATTACGCATTGCGTAATTATGTGTGCCATGCACAGACGCATGTTGTGTAACTATGCGTTCTGAATGCATGAACGCCCCGGAAAACTTCAACGGGGAGGGAAAAGTGCTGAAAAGAGCCATGAACCAACCGGTTTACGGCTGAAACGTATGAACAGATTAATAATAACAGGAGAGCTGATTATTAATCAAATGAACTGATTGGTAACAATAGTCGTGAACTGATTAATGACAATAGAACCAAATAACAGTCACAACTTGTGACTGATAACATCTCACACTGTAATGCATGCAGACAGATGTGAGTAA